CATGGGCCCCCGTACCGCATGGTCACGCTGTTGCTGGGTCCACAGTGTGACATGGGTCCCTGTACCGCCTCCCATTGCTCCCACTCTGCCATGTGCCACTTTGAGGTCTCCTCACACTCCTGCTGTTTTCCATTTTGTCATAGGTTGCTGGCAGATTAGAGGCCTCCCATAGGTGCTGCCAGGCCCCAAATCTGCCATGGTCCCCCGTACCGCCTCGTCACGCTGCTGCTGGGTCCACAGTGTGTCATGGGTCCCTGTACCGCCTCCCATTGCTCCCACTCTGCCATGTGCCACTTTGAGGTCTCCTCACACTCCTGCTGTTTTCCATTTTGTCATAGGTTGCTGGCAGATTACAGGCCTCCCATAGGTGCTGCCAGGCCCCAAATCTGCCATGGTCCCCCGTACCGCCTCGTCACGCTGCTGCTGGGTCCACAGTATGTCATGGGTCCCTGTACCGCCTCCCATTGCTGCTGTTTCCATCGCCACACTCTGCCATGTGCCACTTTGAGGTCTCCTCACACTCCTGCTCTTTTCCATTTTGTCATAGGGTGCTGTATGGCCTCCCATTGCTGCTGCCTCCACCGCCACACTGTGGCTCCAAACACTGGTTTTGGCCCCGTGACTGGCCAAATGAGTGAAGTGTGCGGTGATTCTAAGATCGACGGCACTCATCTGCATGTCATACTGACTGACAGTATTATTTCTCTTCCCCAACAGACTCCAAGGGCATTTAAATTAAAGGTACAGTGTTCTGCACTAATATTAAGTCTCTCTGGAGCCTAGAAACACCCTTTTTTAAGTTAAATTCACAGCGAATATATTCGACTCAAATCGAATATTTTCCACGAATTCGCCGAATCAGTCGAATCGAATTTTTGAATACTTCGCTCATTTCTAATTATGACGGTTCTGAATTATTGAAATGAAAGAAGATAACTCACTGAAAACTGTAGACACACCACACAAGTCTGGAAACCTGGAAATCATGTTCTCGAGATGATCCCGGAACTTCTCACAGGCCGGCTCTCCCTTCTGTAGAATGAGGTCTATCAGTCTCTCCGTTCTCTCTCCATGTTCCTGAGTCGTGTACAGATCTATATACTCCTGATGGGTTAGGATGCAGAGAGATCCCACTTCATCATATAAGCCGTCCACATTCTCCGCAAACACTTGTGTTAGTTTTCCTTTTAGATACTTAATCATCCCTGATGCCTTCATGGGGCAGGTCATGATGTCTGGATTTTATCTCCTGAAAAAAAAGTACATCATGTTACTATTGACATTAAAGTGAAACAATGACGATTTGGGGTTTTATTTTTGACCATTTCCTGGCCACCCACGGTACATTTACTGCAGGCATGTGGCATGGGCAGGCTGGATCACAGACATGTACTTCATCCAACCTGTTCCAGGTTAGGGGCGCCCATGCACGTGCCCCCTGCTAACATACGCTGTCACTGGCCACAGCAGGATTTTTTTCGTCAGCAGGTCCTGGCCAATGATTTATAATTGAGACCTGCCAATCACTGCACAGTCTTGTGTGTACAAACACAGGGCTTTGTACCCGTTTCCGGATCTCCCTATAGCAGAAATACTGCTACAGGGCAGCACGGGTGCGCAAAATCACGTATATATGCATGATTTTGCACCTCCGGGTAGGCACCCTATCCGTGCCACCATTCGCAGCCGCGGCTGTCATTCATGGTGATTACTCGCCGGCACCCGTGATTTCCGAGGATCTCCGATGGGGAGGAGAACTGTTTTGTTTACTAATTTTTTGTGGAAAACTTGTACATAGTTGTCCTCTGTTTCTCTGGGCATCACATACACCCCAACCATCTCCAAGTTCCAAAATTCCCAATAAAACATCAAAACAAGCTCAAGGACTGATTCCTGACTCCTGAATGCAAGTGGATGTGAAGATACATGTTGCCTGGCTTTGCAGGACTATAGAGGGACACAAATCTTCTAGCGACTCCAAAAGGGGTGCAATATGTTGACTATACTGTATATGTGTTTGTGAGACGTTTGCCTGCGGCACAACAATAAAGCAATAATTTAGAGGTACAAAGAAGCCAGGGATTTGTTCAATCATGTCCCTAAACCCCTCCCACTGTTACATTTGGCCACACCTACTTTTTCCTGGGCAAGCAGTCCTAGAAGTTTAAGAACACAAACGCTTTGTCAGCCACTTCACCACCTCCTGTGTAATTCACAATGAGTGGAATAAAACAGCTCCCCGGAGCCCCTCCAAATTGCCGTCCTGATAGGTGCAATTAAAAGGAAGATTTGTGGAAGGGTGGGCAGCCTATGGCTGTACGATTCAGCACTTTAATTTTGCTGCTGGCTGCTCTTCCCCTGACCATGCAAATGTCTCCTCCATTTGCTGCTGCCTGCCCTTTCCTCTGCATTGTGTTTTTCCCATGCTCTTTTTTTTGACAACCTCATGCCTATTAGCCTTGAATATGACCAGAATTGATTATTTGCCCCCCCTGCAATGGCATCGCTATAGGGGTGCAGGGTGGTGCGGAATGTATCCAGGTGACACCCACCAGGGGGGTGACACCAAGGGCTGGCCGCTGAATAACCGCCACCATTGTCACTAACACACACAGCGGGAGACACAGCAGCACTGAATAGAGGGTGGGAGCTTCCAGAGGTAACCTTCCAAGGTAACCAGCTTGTTAATATGAAAAGAATTAACTCCAGCAGCTCCCACCCTCTATCAGCGCAGCTGTGTCTCCCGTCCTGCATGTAAGATAGGAAGGGCAGAGTTGCAGAGGTTGTGTAATGTGAAGGAGGGGGAAATGGCTGCAAGGGGCCACGTAATGTGCTGGGGCTGTATAATGTAAAGGGGACTGTGTTATGTGCATTTTTTTTTTTTGTTAAGCCGAACCTTTAATACCACTTTAAGGGCTCATGTACACTGCAACTGATAAACTCACGTTTTGGAGCTGTTCAGCGTTTTTTTTCAGCAGTTCCTGAACTCTCCCTAATGTTTTCCTATGTGTCCGTGTACACATTGTCATTTCCAGGCATTTGAGTTTACAGTCATTTTTTTGAATGCAGAAATCTTGCATTCAGCAGACGATTTTATCAGTGTTTCAAAATGCAAAACGCTTGTAAATGCGGCAAATCGCGTTTATAAGTATTTGTGTCTGAAAATTTATTTTAACTCTTCCAGTTCCTGATGCTGTCCACATTTTATTTTTCACCATTAAAGATGCATGCAAATTGTTTTTAAGGTACTCAAATGGACAAAACACTGAACACAGGATGTTCCTACCAAGCTTGTCACACATTGTACTGACCAATTCAGACCTCTCCCACCCTTGGAAACAAAAGATATGTTAACGGCCATTCACACCTCAGACCTCTCCCACCCTTGGAAACAAAAGATATGTTAATGACCATTCACACCTCAGACCTCTCCCACCCTTGGAAACAAAAGATATGGTAATGACCATTCACACCTCAAATTCCTCATGAAGACCCCCTGCCAGGTGACCTTAATAACTCCCTTCAGCAGACACCTTTCCCACCCTTGGAAACAAAAGAAATGTTAATGTGCAACTCACACCTCAGACCTCTCCCACCTTTGGAAACAAAAGATATGTTAATAACTAATTCACACCTCAAACCTCTCCCACCATTGGAAACAAATGATATGTTAATGACCATTCACACCTCAGACCTCTCCCACCCTTGGAAACAAAAGATATGTTAATGACCATTCACACCTCAGACCTCTCCCACCCTTGGAAACAAAAGATATGTTAATGAACATTCACACCTCAGACCTCTCCCACCCTTGGAAACAAAAGATATGTTAATGACCATTCACACCTTAGACCTCTCCCACCCTTGGAAACAAAAGATATGTTAATGACCATTCACACCTTAGACCTCTCCCACCCTTGGAAAAAAAAGATATGTTAATGAGCATTCATACCTCAATTTCCTCATAAAGACCCCCTGCCAGGTGACCTTAATGACTCCACCAGACACCTTTCCCACCCTTGGAAACAAAAGAAATGTTAATGAGCAACTCACACCTAAGCTGATCTCAACACATACTACTGTCTCTGCTTCTACTCTCTGTATTTCTCTGAAACAGTCTGAAATTGTTCATAATTTACCACTTTTCAATGCATTCTGGGCATTTGGAAGGTCTCCTGTGCTTATCTTTAAAAAACACTTATAAACGCGTCATGCAAACGTGGCTAAACAGACGTTTTTTTAACTTATGTTTTCCAGCAGTTAGTTTCCATCGTTCAGAAGTGTCCCGTGTACATGGGGCCTTAGTGTAGATCCTGCTCAATGTACACTATGCAGTACTTGAACAACTGTTCAAGGAGAATAGTGTTGTGGACAATCTGAGCAAGTTGTTTGTTTGGGAGCCCAGATCCTGGATCAAAGTTTCCATGTACACTGGGGGGACGTTTTAATAATGCTGGTAATGTTAGCTGTGTAAAGTCATGTTAAAACCGTGTTTTTTGCATTAGCATTTAGCTTCGTTTTTTTTGCTAAAAAAATGTCCAAAAATGCCGGTTTGCCACAATTTTCCACGTTTTTCAGCGTTTTAGCGATTTTACACCTAAAAAACTCCTCTAGAAATCCACTAGTCCTAAGTTTTTTTTCCAGTCAAAAAACGTACCCTGCCAAAAAATGTTGATTCCAGTCTATGTGTGTATGGACGCATAGGATAACATGCTGGGGATGGACACATAGGAGAACATGCTGGGGATGGACACATAGGAGAACATGCTGGGGGGTTTACTGGTTGTAGAAAAAAACGCCAAAAGCCAAAAACAGCCGCTGTAAAAATGTCCCGTGTGCATGAGGACTCAAGAATCAGCTGGCAACATTGCAAAGCATAACAACTTGGAGAAGAGTTTAGATCTCACTTATCAGATGCTGGCAGAGGCCAGAATAGGGGAGGGTGGAGATATAAGGGGGAGGGGTCAGAGGTAGGTAAACTGGGTTACAATTAGAAGGCGGGCTAAAGAAAAAAGGATCAGAGAGTTAATACATCCTACTAAATATGTCCAATTGCATGATACTGGGATACTGGTGTAGGGGACTCAATTATTTGAAGGGCAGGCAGGGTTATTTGTCACAAAGACCATTATTTCCAAATACTGTATATATATATATATATATCTTTCACAGCTTACCTGCACCATCTGATTGGGACGAGGGATCCTTAGCTTGTATCCTCTGTGGGTATCCCACCCAAAAATAGGGACCTCTTTCACTGTGTTGCCCTATGGAGATGTTTTTTAGACTTGATATTTGGACCAAGCACAGGATAATACACCTGTAAGTGGCAATTTAATAAGAGACATAAATATGAGTGAAGCCATGCTTACGTTATTAATACTGCTGCATATCTCCTAGATTGTAAGCTCTAAGAGCCGGGCCCTCTGTTTCCTCTTGTACCCAAATTGTATTGGAACTGTCATGTCTATCTTCATATTGTAAAGCGCTGCGCAAACTGTTGGCGCCATATAAATCCTGTATAATAATGATAATATTGTAGATAATTGCAGATAATTCTCTTCTGCATCCTCATGAAAGAGTGGACAAGAATCACGGAATGCATAAAGGAACTCCAGCCCCTTTAACAAAGAAACCACAAAACCGGACCAAGCCCAAGAAACTACAAAAAGAAGGAAGTATCTGTAGCGATATTGTGGAACTTGAGACAATAATTGCCAACTTTGGGGTATAATATACTGTGCATAGGTCCTGTTTTTTTTATAGTAGGAGCAGAAATATTTTAGGAATTCGATTTAATACATTATATATTTTTTTGAAACATATTTATGTAATCATTGGATTGATTAAGAGATCCTAATAATTCCACTGTCTATATACACAAAGTTGAATGGTAAAAATTCAGTAGCGGTTCACTTCTGTTTGACAGCCTGTTCAAAGGTACTCAAAGGTTTTACATGATCACCTTCCAATCACTAATGATTTGCACTACAGAATTACGTTTTGGCAAGTCAGCATTGCAATTCCGTTTTATGGCGCCAAATAAAATTTCAGAACAGCTGTCTCTCAATGGAGCAACAACAGTATTACAGACAATACAATGTGAATACGAATAAAGCAATATACAACAAACATGTTTTTTTTTTATAATTAATAGATAGTGGCTCTTACCCGGCTAAAGTAGCTTTGAGATTCAGTTGGACTGCACTCTAAGACCGCAGTGTTCCACTCGGTGAGTGAAATGAGGGTGTTGTCTTCCTTCTTTGCTCGGTTTATGTAGACTGACAAAGTACACTATATGAACTTTAACTTTATTGAACCATAACGAGCTTCTCGGTTTCTATCTGATAGCTCTGTTTTCAGATAAGAAATGTATAACTTCTAATCAGTGTAGGTTGGGAGAGTAAAGTTCCACTTTATGTGCTATCACATATACAGATACGTTAGTACTTTTCCAAAATCCTATAGAAGAGATGGGGAATCCCAGACTGTACATATTTCATGGATTCAAGTCAATCTCTTAGTAAGACGAAAGGTATTACCACAAATTCAATAAATCGTAGTTAATTGGACACAATTAGAGCAAATGTAACCATAGCGCATCATTATTTTATACAATGTCTGTGTTTTCTCCCCTCTTCTCTTAATTTCCTTTCTGCTTTTAGGACAGATAGAGGAGCAACCTCTAAAAAGGCTCCAATGGAATTATTTGGGGGCATGGGAGAGAAATATTGGCATTGTCACACATGGCCCCTGGGGAAGACGGAAAATGGATACTGTTGTTGAGATCACTAAGAGAGTCAACTATATTAGGGGCCACTGAAGATAAAGTATCCAATGTCATGGGGGGGTTCTGACATTATTTAACGGTCTGTTTGTTGGAGGGGCAATAATACTGATAAAAATGAACTACTGACACCATCCTACTGACACCATCCTACACATAATACCCACAGCCATACACTCCGCACTCCTCTCCTGTACATACTACCCACTTTCATACACTCCACACTCCTCTCCTGTACATAACTGCCCACCATCATACACTCCACACACCTCTCCCTGTACATACTACCCACCGCCATACACTCCTCTCCCTGTACATACTGCCCACCATCATACCCTCCACACTCCTCTCCCTGTACATACTGCCCAACATCATACCCTCCACACTCCTCTCCCTGTACATACTACCCACCACCATACCCTCCACACTCCTCTCCCTGTACATACTACCCACCACCATACACTCCGCACTCCTCTCCCTGTACATACTACCCACCCCCATACACTCCACACTCCTCTCCCTGTACATACTACCCACCACCATACACTCCACACTCCTCTCCCTGTACATACTACCCACCGCCATACACTCCACACTCCTCTCCCTGTACATACTACCCACCACCATACACTCCACACTCCTCTCCCTGTACATACTACCCACCACCATACACTCCACACTCCTCTCCCTGTACATACTACCCACCACCATACACTCCACACTCCTCTCCCTGTACATACTACCCACCACCATACACTCCACACTCCTCTCCCTGTACATACTACCCACCACCATACACTCCGCACTCCTCTCCCTGTACATACTACCCACCCCCATACACTCCACACTCCTCTCCCTGTACATACTACCCACCACCATACACTCCACACTCCTCTTCCTGTACATACTACCCACCACCATACACTCCAACTCCTCTCCCTGTACATACTACCCACCACCATACACTCCGCACTCCTCTCCCTGTACATACTACCCACCGCCATACACTCCGCACTCCTCTCCCTGTACATACTACCCACCACCATACACTCCTCTCTCTGTACATACTACCCCACCACCATACACTCCGCACTCCTCTCCCTGTACATACTACCCACCACCATACACTCCACACTCCTCTCTCTGTACATACTACCCACCACCATACACTCCGCACTCCTCTCCCTGTACATACTACCCACCGCCATACACTCCGCACTCCTCTCCCTGTACATACTACCCACTTTCATACACTCCACTCTGTACATTTTAAAATACCCCCCTCTCTCATCCCTTCCTCTCTCACTCCTCCTCCTCCTCCCTCTCTCTCACACTCCTCCTCTTTTTCACCCTCTCACTCCCCTCTCTCTTTCACGTCCCCCACATGGCAGCCATCTTTAAACCTGAAAGTGCCCAGTGGCGTCTACGGAAAGAAGCCGGGAACATTCATGCAGTCTTTGCTGCAGTAAATATTTAAATGCCCCTTCTATGCAGCTGAGCTGCAATATGTAGGTAGGGTGTTGTGTGGGTGTGGCTTGAGTGTAGGTGGGGGCACAGGGTCTCCCATTATCTCTTACTGCCCGGGGCCCCCATGAGTTGTCAGTCTGCCCCTGGTCTGTACGTAGCTATTCCAAAAAAGGGGAATCCCTATTAGTGTATGAACTCTAATTTTGTATATCATTGCTCCTTCCAAATAATTAGC